AATTTTTATGTTACCACCATAAACAAATTCTCCTGATAAAACATTAACAATAAGGTCTTTTTGGCATATAACGGTTTACATCATATTCAAAAAATAGACTTACGTGGTCCAAATTCGACAAGATCTATATTTTTGTCAATTTATTATTATTATGAGTTTTGACCGCGAAATATTGTCGATTAAATCTTTTTGTTAAATAAAGATTCAGTCTTCGTAGGAACGGTTATAAGATAGGAGGTTCAAAAACTTCCCACAGTCGAACCAACCTTAACATTTGTTGTCGTATTTTTATAATTGCTATAAATGTTGTATTTTGTATCTTTACAACCCACGCCACTTATGGTGCAAAATATATTAAGTTTGTGCAGATGTATGTAACATGCAGAAGAGCTTAAAATAGACCCAACTTTTATTATACCAATCAATCCAAAATCATTCTCTGAATCTATCTAAGCCTGTCTGTCGTTCTGTCCGTCTGAGATATTCTGATGAAATTTGGTACACCGCGGACGTATGCAACACGCAGATGGTCTGGGGATATTTTTTTTATTATAGCGATCAAGTCAGTCTCATTTGCTGGATCGATTCAAGCTTGTCTGTCAGTCCTTAAAATTTTTTAATGAATTATTCACACTGCCATGTTTTAGCACAAAGACCAACGCTATTGAAAATGTTTCTGATCGGTTCACATTTACAACCACTCCCCATATAACGCCCTTTTGTGAAAAGTCGTCAAATGGAAAAAAAATTGTCATTTTCAAAATTGCCCGGCAAAAGTCGTTAAGTAATGATATTTAGGCATTCTAAATGGGTATAAAGATACCGAACCGGAAATTTTTGAACCCCTTCTCATACAACGAGGACTGAATTTCATATGACAAAAACATATAATTTTCAATGCTCAAATCATAGTAGTAATTTGAAATAAAAAAATTAACTGGGCCATATTTGGACTATATTGGCCAATTTTTTCAATCTTAACCTATATAAGAATTTTCACAGAAATTGATCCTTTATAAGGCAGAAAAGTCTAAATTTTGATATGTTATGATAAAAATTGATTAATAATAGTAATCTTAATAAAATATGTACACTGTACCAAATGTGGACCAACTACGCCTATTTGTGGATGCTTCCCTATATAAGGGTTTTCGAGGAAATTGATTCTTGATAAGGCATAAAAGTCTAAATTTTGATATGTTATTATAGAGGTTGACCAATAATAGTAATTTAGATAGAATAAATTCGAACCACTGACGTCTATTTTTGGATCTTACCCTGTATCAGGGTTGTCACGAAAATTTTTGCCGTTTAGGGCAAAAAAGTTGAAGCTTTAATATTTTATCATGAAAATTGATCCATAATAGCAATTTGATATAAGAATTAACTGTAATGAATTTTGAGCACAAATCTTAATTTTTTAACTTTTTAGGCGCAGCCGTTCTTGCGAAAAGTAAGCCTTTATTTTCAAAGAAGTATAATTACAGTTCCATAACAGCAAGTTCACATAAAAACAGGGTATAATTTTTGTGTTCTACGGCAAAATTAAGAATTGTGTTAGACAATCCGACGTAGAGTATTTAAAAGTTGGCGTAGGCCAACTATAATCACTTGCTTTTGTGTTTTTATTTAAAAAAACCCAAAGTTAACTTATTTTTTCAGTTCCATGTACATTTGGAACAAACTTTCAACTATCATAAACCTCTACACCTTAAGATTTGGTTTCGATAGAACAGGATAAACGTTGCGTCGATTTATATTATGTCCAAGTTTAAATTATCCATTCTTATAACATCCTACACCACCCTTGGTATATGGCATATTAAGTGTGTGGAACTGTATACAAAAGCTAAGAAGAAAGACTCACCTTTTATATAAGCCAGTCGGTCTGTCCATGTATATTCAACTACGTGTTTAACCTACAGATCACAATTTTTGAGATATTTTGATAAAAATTGGTACACTGACTTGTTTTGGGCCAAGAATAAATGCTTTGAGAAGTGGTTCGGATCGAATACTGCAAGATGGCGTAGGGTAGTTAATGATGAGCAGCGGCCCATTAGAATGTTTTTACTTGTTTACTTTTCTCTACGCGAAATGTATCGAGGTAAGCGTTATATTGAAATTAATTCCAACATTTACATATTTCAGTAAAATGTTCATCGCTTTCGTTTTGCAAATTAATATAAATATGTGACATACACACGTATGCAATTCGCATAACGCGAAATCGTCGGTTTTGCTAACGTTAAATCATGAAAATTAACATAAAGCAGAGTAATATTTCTTTCGACGGTGGAATCAGTCCTTTTACTGGTAATGAGAAAGCAATTATTAATTGCAATTAAATAAAATTCAGTTTAATAAAAACCATCTGCCCACTGGTAAATTGAATTTAATTAAAATATACAGAAAGGGCGGTTTTTTTATCAGCCTGTGCTACCTTGCGTAGAACATTGCAAGACATAAGACCGATTTACTTGCTATTAGGATCATAAGTTGTTAATGTATACATTCCAACGTATTGTGTTAGTGAAAGCAAAGCCATGCTTATAAGTACAGTCAAATATCCTATAATTGAATTAATTCATTACGGATTATGTATAAACAACATTATGAGGATCTCAGAATTAATGCAACTCAAATAAACAATTTTGTAGAAACCGCGCTCAGAGAAACATAGATTTAAGATAAATTAAATTACAAAGCGTATTGTCGAAGGCTTGTTATACTTTGTGTTCGTACTATATAAAATAAAACAAATGAAAAGAATTTCAACACACTAGAGCCTGAACCTCAATATTAGACTAAATTAAAAAAATTCAAAGTTCATTGCTGCCCAGTTAGTTGAAACCAAGAATAGCGCATAGATGTTAAAAATAAAAATACCTGCCTGCCTCTACAAACCACGCCTTTTGCCTTCTTTTATATAGTAGATGTAGTATAATTTATACTATATATGAAGTATATATAAAACAAGTTAATATGGTTAACCTAGTCCTAGTTTAAACTTATGCTGTCGACATTTTCCATCGTAAAGAACAAGATATGTTAAGATCTTTTTTTGCGTCCTTAACAGAAGACTTTGATTAATTATTAAGAAATTGAGTAAAAATTTGCTCTTAGAGGACTGCCAGGGCGCCTTGCTTAATAGCATTACTTTGAAAATAAACCGCAAATAGCTTGCTGAAATTATGTTGCGGCATTCCTAAGGTGTTCCAACGGAGTTGTCATACTGACGATATTTATTTAGACTGATTTCAGTAAGGTCTTTGAAAAACACTTGGTTGCATCGGGACTTTTCGTACCTATCATGGAAATCTTAAACAAGTAAGGACATTATAATCGGGCAAGCCTACACAACATTGCCTGCCACAGTTCTTATTTTTTTATATGAAATTACTATAACATTATGGGTCAACTTTCATCACCACATATTAAAACTTAGCATTTTCTGCACTGGAAAAGATACATTTTCGTGAAAACCTATATGAAGAATCCAAAAAATAGGCCGCTAGGCTCCAAATTTTCATCATGAAGCATTGAAAATTATGCTCTTTTGTCGTACGAACTTGAGGTTTCGTTATATGAGAGGAGGCTCAAGAATTGTCCCAGCCGATTCAAAATTTTCATACCAATTTAGAATGCTGAAATGCTACTACTTTTTCGATTTTGCCAAGAAAATTTGAAAACTGCAATTGAGAATAGACAAAAACGCGGAGTATTTTCAATAGCGTTTGTCCTTGGGTCAAAACACTTGACTGTACCAAATTTCATTAAAATATCTTAAACTTTCGACCTGTAGCTTGGATAAAATGATACGTGGACAGATATCAGATGGACGGACAGTCTTAGAGCAATTCAGATTACGATCCTGACTCGATCGCTGTAATAAATTTAGGCCAATTTTTGTACCTTCTCTCGTATAACCTTCTCTGGCATACGACAAGGAGGTATAATTTTCGATGCTTCATGGTGAAAATTATACCATAATAGTAATTTAACATACGAAAAGTAACTGTGCCAAATTTCTACTACCTCGGCTTATTTTTTTAATCTTACCCCAAAAAAAATTTTTCACGAAAATTGATCCTTTATATAGTAGAAAAGTGTAAATTGTAACAAATGGTGAACAAAGATAAGAACAAATTGGCCCATGATAGAAATTTCATACAAAAATGAATTGTTGGATCCTGCCCTATGTAAGAATTAAACTTGTAATATACTAGTTTGCGTTTTAGTTCCATTTCCCCATAAAAACTCACTTCAAAAATATGCCTTTATATAGAAATAAGATATAGTTTTTGTGTTCTACAATAACAATAAAAATTATGTTAGACAATGTGTTGTAGGGCATTTAAAGGTCAGTCTTGTTTGGTTATAATGTTCTTACTTGTTTTTGTTTATTGTTATTTATCTAGTGCTGTTTGTATTATAAGTAAAGAACAAGTAAACTTCCGTTTGCCTCTTGTGTCTGTTTTATTCGTTTAAATGAATGAAAGAAACAAAGGCGATCATGAAAGTCATACGTGATGCAAAATATCAATTTTCGCTGCTAAAGAAAATAAAAATTAGTTAAAAAATATATAATTAAACTCCAGCCTATTTAAAGTTTTTATTTTTTAAGTTGTTAGTAATTTCCATATTGAAGAATTATCCTTTTTTCTAATCGATACAAACTTGAGAATTGAAAAGGAAAAATAATTAACGCCATGCATAATTAATGTAATATTGATTTCAGTCCCATAAACAAAAATTGCAAAACACGAAGATTTCTTCCTTTTAGAATTTTAATAGACTTTTTTTAAACATACCCTATTAGATTATCGGAGATGACCTCAACAAAACAAAAAACAAGTTATTTATTTCATTTTATATTAAAGCTAAACATTGTCATTTTATATCTTCGCTATTCTTCAAAATACTTTGAAAAACTTAAACAATGTGGCAATAATATTCATAGTATAATGAACGTATACTCACCACTCCGCAGTGTATAGTGTTGCGAAGAAAAGTCTTGTTTTTCTTTAAACAGATTTACGGAAATTTTTGCAAGAATTTATCACTAATAAGTTGTAGTAAAATGAATACCTTAGGTCCGAAAGAGGATGGTGGTCCAAACGTAGAATTTTTTAATTCTCCCGAATCATTGCAAGGCTTTGAAACAATACGTTTATGGCTGCAGAAAAATTGCAAAAAGGTGAGTAAACGAAATAGAAAATGTTGTTTAAGGGAAGAGAGGCGTGATTCTTTTAAAAATGTTTTAATTTCTAGCAATTAGCTAGTGAACCCATAACTAAGGAGAGTTTAGCACAATTGTTGATTCAATTTCTCCAGTATGTGGAAGCTAAATTGGGCAAAAATTCCACAAAGCCGCCAGCGACACGCATACCGGTAAGTTTGTATTGCTTGTTTATCTTAGAAGTATACAATTGTAGCATTGATAATTTTTTCTCAGATGCGTTGCTTTATGGATTTCAAACCGAATGGAGGTCTATGTTATATATTTGCCGCTATGTTTCGCTTTCGTGACAAGCAAAAAGGGAAGAAATTTGATTTTACAGTCGGCAAGAATCCCATTAAAGATCCAAACATTCAATTGCTGAGTGATATTGAGCAGGAATTGGTTGAAGCAGATCTTTATCGAATTCCGTATATCTATATAAGACCTGAAGTCGATCTGGACAAGCAATTGAGCACACGTTTGCGAGAAATCTTAGCTACCCGTCGCGTGGAGATAGTTTCAAATGAAGAAGATGCTACGCATATTATTTATCCCGTGGTCGATCCGCACCACGATGAATACGCTCGTCCCATTTTCAAACGTGGAAACCATGTTATGCTGCATTGGTACTGCTTGCCGGAATCGTATGACACTTGGACGCCAAATAATTTCGATTTGCCTGATAATATACCCGAAAATCCCGAGTCGCCAATTGAACGCTGGCGAGTATCGGCTTCATGGATTTTAGACTTGGAACAATACAACGAATGGATGGCTGAAGAGGATTATGAAGTAGACGAAGCGGGTAAAAAGAAAATGCATAAGCAACGTTTATCCGTAGATTATATAATGTCATTTGGAAGTGATGATAAGAAAAAGTCGAGCAGTACAGGGGGAACGAAACAAAAGCGCAGACGTTCGCCTTCACCTGGGCCATCAAAACCTGGCAAACGTAAGCGTTCTCCAGCCGTACTACATAAAAAATCTCGTAATGATGATGACGATGAGGATTTAACGCGTGATATGGACGATCCATCTTCAGAAACAAATTTGCAAGAAGTTATTAAAACATCATCCTTGCAATCCACTGCTAGTCCTGCACTTGGTAATAAATCTAGAGGTGATAATGATATGATGCCAATAAAAGGTAAGACACCTAATAGTACAAAGATTTTTTTAATATAAAACTTCTTCAACTATTGAAGGGGGTACAATTACCGATTTGGATGATGAAATGACTGGAGGTAGTGCTGCGCAAGCTTTGTCTACTTGTGATGGTGAAAATTCACAAACTGGAAAGACGAGCGATAATAGCAATACGCAAGAGTTCTCTTCATCTGCTAAAGAAGACGTGGAAGATAATGTTACTGAGCAAACACATCACATAATTGTCCCGTCATACTCGGCCTGGTTTGATTACAATTCAATACACACAATTGAGAAACGAGCTATGCCCGAATTCTTTAATTCGAAAAATAAATCCAAAACACCAGAGATTTATATGGCTTATCGCAATTTCATGATTGATACTTATCGACTCAATCCTACTGAATATTTAACCAGCACAGCCTGCCGTCGAAACCTCGCTGGCGATGTGTGTGCTATAATGCGTGTTCATGCTTTCCTTGAACAATGGGGATTAATTAACTATCAGATTGATGCCGAATTACGTCCCACACCCATGGGGCCACCGCCCACCTCACATTTTCATATTCTATCGGATACTCCATCTGGTTTGCAATCACTGAATCCGCAAAAGACTCAACAGCCATCAGCTGCTAAAACTTTGCTCGATCTCGACAAAAAACCTATAATTACAGCTATAAAAGAAGGCAAAGAGGATTCGTTAGATAAAGCTCCGGTAACTGTAAAAACGGAACCTCTGGAAAATGGGACAAATACTTCAAGCCAGTTTGGCCTAAAACTGGATCAATATGTAAAAAAACCGGCTGCAATCAAAAATCGTACCGCAGCAAATGTGTCACGTGAATGGACCGATCAAGAAACTCTTCTACTATTAGAAGGATTGGAATTGCATAAAGATGACTGGAATAAAGTCTGTGAACATGTTGGCACTCGCACTCAAGATGAATGCATACTGCACTTTTTGCGTTTACCCATTGAAGATCCTTATTTGGAAGATGATGGCGGTTTTCTAGGTCCTTTAGGTTGCCAACCGATCCCTTTTAGTAAGACTGGCAATCCAATAATGTCTACGGTTGCATTTTTGGCCTCAGTGGTTGACCCAAGAGTAGCGGCGGCCGCCGCTAAAGCTGCGATGGAAGAATTCGCGGCCATTAAAGACGAAGTACCAGCCACCATAATGGATAATCATATGAAAAATATTGAAAAGGCCTCGACAGCTGGAAAATTTAATCCTACTTACGGCTTGGCTAATACCGGTATTGCTGGCACTGGAACCGACAAAGATGATGATGATGTTAATAACGCTGCTACCGTAGGCACAGTTTCTGCTGATGAAGATATGAAGGATATAATAAAGAAGGAAGGTTCGTAAAACTCTCGATATACTTGGTTTATTGTTAACCATTCATTTATATTTATAACACAGACATGTCGGGTGGAACGACATCTATTGATGTAAGAGGGGAGGGTGGAATTGATGGTGAGACTTTAAAAGAAAGTGAGTCTAAACAAATATTTAATGAGGTGAACGTGCAAACAGCTGCAGCTGCTGCGTTGGCTTCAGCAGCAGTGAAGGCAAAACATTTGGCGGCATTAGAAGAACGTAAGATCAAATCTTTAGTTGCGTTATTGGTAGAGACTCAAATGAAGAAATTGGAGATAAAATTGCGACACTTTGAAGAACTTGAAACTACAATGGAACGTGAACGAGAGGGCTTAGAATATCAACGACAGCAATTGATTACTGAACGTCAACAGTTCCACTTAGAACAATTAAAGGCAGCTGAATTTAGGGCGAGACAGCAAGCCCATCACCGTTTACAAGAACAGCAATGGCAAGGAACATCACCAGCAGCAGCTGGATCTACTTGTGCAAGTACTTTACCAGCTGGCAATCATTCCATTGTTGGAGGCCAACCAAACGCCGGATCACAAATATGTTCTGGCAGCACTATGCCAAGCGCTCTTAGTGCTTCTCAAGCATCTCCCCATGTTAGTGGACCAAGTGCTGCGACCGCTTCACATGCCGCTGCAACTACAGTCGTAGGTACTCCACTATCCGGGCAAGCAACAATGTCTATGGGTGAGTAGTTTCATTACTTTAACCTAAAACATCTTAATGCGAAGTGAACATCTTTCTCTAGATGCCAGTCCCGCAGTATCACTCGCAGTATCAGACGGTTCGCAAGAATCTTGCGTCACAAATCAACAACCGCTGCAGACAAATCCAACGACTCCAACGATTACTTCTTCTTAAAACTTTGAAATGTATTAGTATTATTAATTTTTACGCAGCTTTTCCATTTACTAATGCGATTTTAATTTTATCCAATTGAAGACGATAAATAGTCCATTTAATTGATGCATTTGATTTCAAATAAATAAAATGTATTACTTATAGTATGCGTAATCTTTTCAGATCAACTTTTAATTTATTTTGGATTTTCTACTATAGGTATAGGCACGCCTTTTACTCCATCTCCTGTTTATAGTACATACGAGCACAGGTAGGATTTACTACCAAGAGTAAACCATTGCCTTATCAATTTCTTAATAGCAGGCTCTATATTGCTTCTAAAAATGTGGGTGGAGGTGGTGGTAAAATTAGCCATCTGACCATTACCTAGGACCCTTTAATGCCACAGCCATGGAATATATTACAAAGTGTTTTGAAGTCTGAAAGCCATGTTCGAATGGGCTTCGGAAATTATTAAGCGTCAAGACAATATAGGAATCAACAAATTAAGGAATATAATTACAATATTCGACGGAAAAATTAAAATGTTTTGGGTACCAAGTCACATCGGTTTATTGGGAAATCAGCAGGCTGATCGAGCGGCAAAGTATGCTGCTTCTGCTCCTCTATTCATGGATGATGCCATTTTGCTTTTCTTTTTTATACCCATCACCGAATGGTATGAAGAATAGCTTCAAAGATCACCCATAAAATATATATATTGTTGTTCAGCATGAAATACTAAATATAGATTTAAGCATGTCCATCTGTTCGATTGTCCGTTTATATACTATCTGTTATAAAAATTCTTCGAGTCGCAAAAACGCAGCAATCGGCTTCAAGTTTGATAGGTTGGTATTGAAATGGATCAAATCGGTCGATGGACACGCCCACAGTCGCCCTAAAATTGGTTTTTCCCTCATTTCTGATAAACTTTATCAGATAAATGTACAAAAATTTGGACCTGTGCTCTATGGGTGAAGATGTGGCATTACAAGTACAAAAAAGAAAAAATTGACCGCGCCTGCCAAATGTTGTAGTGCATAAAAATTTAATTTCTTTTCCAATACCTTTATAACACGCAGAAACATCCTTCAAAAACCCCATAAAGTGGCCACATTCAAATTTGGATTGCACCTAAGCATGTTCATCGGTTCATCTGTCCGTCTGCCCAATCGTCTGGTATCTGTGGGAAACATTCTCATTTTAGCGAAAATGAAGATTTCGCCTACAAATTGGAAAGGATTTTGGAACGCACTTTGTCAAAGTACACACGCCTACAACGCCTATGCGGCAAAAATTTATATTTCGGAAATAGAAAAAATCAGCCGTGCCCACACCATTTTATAAAGCATGAGAATTCAATTCTTTTACTTATACTGGGTCTTTTAGGATGACGGTGATGGATATAAAAAATTGGATGGCGACAGAATATAAATTTCTTAATTTGGTTCCGTTTTACATTTCTCTTATGAACGTAAATCATGATTTTAGTTAATAATGTTTTACCTCATCGTTTATTTTTAATTGTTCAATAAATTTTTTTATTAGCTATGTCGGTGAGAAAAAACCGACAGAATATGAAAAGGTAAACGTTATATTGAAATTAATTCCAACATTTGCATATTTCAGTAAAACGTTCATCGCTTTCGTTTTGCAAATGTATATAAATAAAGGAGATACACACGTATGCGGTGCATATAAAAATTCGTCGTTTTAATCAACATTGAATTATAAAAATTAACAAAAACACGCAGAGTAATTTCTCTTTCGATAGTGGAATCAGTCCTTTTACTAGTAATGGATAAGCAATTATTAATTGCAATTGAATAAAATTTAGTTGAATAGAAATCATTTGTCCACTAATAAATTGGATTTAATTAAGTTTTGCTTTGTGGAAAAAAATACAAAGCAGGAAAAATTTTTTTAATTCAACTTGTGTCGAACCTCCTAGTACTTACCCTAATCGCTTGTAGAATATATTGCAAGTACTTAGCAATGCTTTCATGCTAACTGTGCGAAAGGATATCCATGCTTCAATGTACAGTCGAATCTCTTGTAACTCAATTACATAAAAATCGAGTAAATTAGCTGCTCAGCGACATGATCAGGTAATACGAAGTATCAACTGTTAAATTCAATGACTTTGAACTTTCTCTACCTAAAATAACGGATTTCCAGTTAGTGTTATTGAGTTAGTCAATGTATGCAGACGCTAATCATGGAACAGGTCAAATTTCATTTTCCACCTTTATTATGTTTTTTATTTAATTTGAAGAAATCTGACTGGCGAAGCCCTTCAAACATTTATGGTAACGCTGTTCCATCATATACCGATTGTTGGTTTTGGTTTCGACCACTAACTAAGAAATGCCTGGAGGTCAAAAAAAAAAAAATGAATTGCAATAGTTATTTGACACCCAATTCAAACTCTCAAAGAACTTTCGACCAGCTTAGCAATTAATGAACCAACTTTTTTTGGACGTTTCAATGGGAAAGATCCTACCATACGAGGGAAAATGGGCAAAAAAAGAAGGGTTTTCTGTGGCGTATTGTGAGGGACAATAAAAAGTGGACCCACGACAATGCCAAGCGCAAAAAGTCATGAGTTATTCCAAAAGAGTCACCGACACTGACACGGAATATTCGTGACCATAAAGTTTTGCTGTGCATATGGTAGGATCAGTGAGATATAATATATTACTATATCGAGAGAACAAGCTGAACGATGTATGCAAGAAATATCAACAATAGCGGTTAACAGACGCAAATTCATCCTTCTCCCGCACACAGCGCACTCCTCAAACCCATCGCCTTTTGATTATCATTTGTTCAGATCGATACAGCATGGCTGCCTTGGCACAGTTTTTTGAAAAGCTTGGGAACTGAGAGAATGAGCAGATGGTTTGGATCGGAACCAATATCGTTCTTTCGAGAAGGTATTGCTATGCCGGAAAGATTGGAGAAAATTGTAGAAAATTGATGGAAAGTATTGTGCCAATTTTTCTCGATAAACGCCTTTTTCAAGTGAAAAAATGATTAGAATACATGCAAACACCTTTTATAAAACAAATGAGAGAACGTTAATACACTTAC